AGTGCCGTCGCTGCTACAGTGCTGTCGCCTGTTTATTTTGTCCTTTTTTCCCATGGCCTTGAATAGGTGATTCGAGGCCACATATGACCCGACTCGGTCATCTACTACTACCTATTTTTTGATCTGTTTTTAGTCTATGTTTAAAGAACAGATCTCTACTACTGCCCCTGACTATTTGACTACTACTTGCCTACCACTATTGTGCAACAATATCGGAAACAGATCTCTCATCATTTTCTACATCTCCCTCTGCTGCTGCTGGTCAGACTTTTGCGCACAAGGTAGTTTTGGGGACTACAATAAAATTGAATGGTAAAAACTATCTGCTCTGGGCTCAGGCTTTCCGCATCTTCATTGGCGCTCAGAGCAAACTTTCACATCTTCTGGCCTCTCCTCTACCCACCACAGATCCCACCTATAGTTCCTGGCTCTCGTCTGATTATTGTGTTATGACGTGACTTCTCAACAGCACGGAACCACCGATTAGTAGTAGTGTTATGTTCTTAACCACTGCGAAGGAGATGTGGGACAGCCTGAAGATTATGTACGGGAATGAGAAGAATGCTTTCCGTGTATTTGAGATTTATAAGCGACTGTTTGTGCTCAAACAGGGAGATAGGTCAGTTCCGGAGTTCTTTGGTGAGTTAAAGTGACTGATAGACGAACTGAAGATGCATCAGTCTGCAGTAGCTGATGCGGCGATGCTGTTGGGATATCGCCGTGACTTGATAGTGTCTAAGTTTTTTTCTGGATTGCACCCTACCTTACAGTCCTAAGTGAGAGGACAGATATTGGGTGGAGATACCATCCCCTCACTGACTGTTACATTCTTCAGAGTCATGTAGGTCTTTACTGGTATTTCTTCTGATACTTCTGCACCGTCTCCACCTTCAGTGGATCAGTCTACATGTTCTCTAGTAGAGGCAGAGGCCGCGGTCGTGGTCGTGGTCGTGATTTTGTGAGAGGACGTGGCTCTTTTAGTGCGAGACAGGGTAATTCTGATAGGGGTTCACGTCAGTGTGGTCACTGTGGGAGGACCAATTATATTTCTGAGAAGTGCTGGGAGAAGTTTGGTCGTCCTCAATTGGCCCAAGTAGCCGATGCCGAGTCGACTCGCTCACCTATTTCTACTACTATTTTTAGTAATCCAGCTGTCACTGTTCCTACTGTTCAGATCTCTCAGGCAGATTATGAGAGGTTACGCCAGCTAGAGCTCTCTCAGAACAGTCATTCGGCTACTTATGCATCCTTTTCAGGTATGGATGCTTACATAGATTCTCCTCATGAACCATAGGTACTAGATTTTGGAGCCTCATCCCATATGACAAGTATAAAGGATCGTTTTGTCTCTTTACATCTTTCTGATAAGTTTTCCTCTATATTTGTATCGTTGATGGTACACTTTCTCCAGTTCTTGGTGCTGGAGTAGTATGCTACTTCCTATTTGAAATTCACTGATGTGTTATATGCTCCTAAATTCCCTGTTAGTTTATTATCCATTAGTAAGTTTACAAAGCATAATAACTGTAAAGTCATATTCTTTCATTCTTATTGTGTTTTTCAGGACCTAGCAACTAGGATGACGATTGGTTCGAGGCATGAGAGAGGAAGTATGTACTATTTGGACGACAGTGTGCCGGGTGCTGGTTGTAGATGGGTGTATACCCTCAAATATCGCTCTGATAGGTCTGTTGATAGATATAAAACTCGCCTAGTTGTTAAAGGATATACCCAGACATATGATATTGACTATTTTGAGACTTTTTCTCCTGTTGCGCATCTCAACTCCATTCTCTTCTCTTTTCTCTGGCTGTTAATCTGGATTGGAAGATGCATCAACTAGATGTGAAAAATGCTTTTATTTATGGTGATTTGGACGAGGAGGTTTATATGGAGTAACCTCCTGAGTATGTTGCTCAGGGAGAGAATATTATCTGTAGACTGAGAAATGTCATCTAAGGGTTAAAACAGAGTCTTCGAGCTTGGTTTGATAAATTCAGTAAGGTTATTTCTAGTGTTGGTTTCCAACGCTGCCATTCTGATCACTTTGTCTTTCTTCGACGCACAACTGGTTTGATTATTTTAACCGTTTATGTTGATGATATTCTGCTTACTGGGAGTGACTGTTGCTTTAGTAGAGACTAAAGAGTATCTAAACCGTCATTTTGTCACTAAGGACATGGGAAAACCAAAATATTTTACTTGGGATTGAAGTTGCATATCAAGACATGGCTTGTTGTTGTCCCAAAGGAAGTATGTGCTAGATTTACTAGAAGCAGGTGTCTCGGGATGCAAACATTCAAACACTCCAATGGAGGCAAATATTGATTTGTGGCGTGATGATACCTCTCTATTAGATGATGTTGGACGATACGTGAGACTGATTGGTAAACTAATCTATTTGACAGTTATCAGACCTGATATTACCTTTACAATGGGTGTACTGAGTAGGTTTATGCACAAACCTAGAGAAGTTCATTGGACAGCTGTTTTGAAGATTTTGGCATATATCAAGAGTTGCCCTGGTAACGGATTGCTATATAAGAAGCATGGGCATACTCATATTTCTGCTTTCTTTAATGCTGGCTATGCAAGAGATATGAGAGACCGGAAGTCAACCTCAGGATTCTGTACTTTTATTGGAGGTAATCTTGTGATTTGGAGAAGCAAGAAACAAGATGTAGTATCACGGTCTAGTGCAAAGGCCGAATATAGAGCAATGACTCACACTACTTGTGAGATGGTGTGGCTATGAAAGTTTATGACAGAACTTGGTTTTGTTTAACCTGGACCCATGCCTATGCATTGTGACAACCAATCTGCCATTTACATTGCACAAAATTCTGTATTTCATGAGAGGACAAAACATATTGAAGTTGACTGCAATTTTGTCAGAGATGCTTGGGAGAAGAAGATATTGTGTCTCATATTCACTCCATTCTCACAACTTGTTGATATTCTTACCAATGCTACTTCTTCAAAGGTGTTTTCTACTATACGTGATAAGCTGGACATGGTGGATATTTATGCTCCAGCTTGAGGGGGAGTGTTAGATTAAGTCTATTGGGTATTGGGTTAATGGGCTGTAACATGTTAACCATACCCCTATTTGTATGACTATATATATCTCTCTTTAGTATTTGAATAAATTAATTAAGTTAGGGTTTTGCTCTCTCAATTATCTCTTTCTACAAAGGACTTAAAGCTGATGCTTGAATGTTGGTTTCTTAAAGTTGTTTTCATGGTTCACTATTATTTTTAATTATATGGTCTTTTATTGTGTTATGCTTTCTTTTTAATAAATTCTTTAAATTATCAAAATGACTAAAGAATGCTTTCTGTTCCCCCTCCCTCCCTCTGTGAGTAATGCAAATCTCTTCCTTTACATTTCCTTATTTCTTATATATGCC